CATTTCATTTTTGCAGGTCCTGAAACAACTTTTCACCATTCCCATTTGGAAGGTCGCTGTTTTGCTTTACTTTTTTCACTCACAAACAGCGGGAGGCAGTAAAGTGTGCAGGTTAAAAGTGAGGGCCTTGGAGCCCAAAGAACCTGGGTTCGTGATCAGCTCCATCGCTTTCTAACTGTGTGGACTTGGGAAAACGACTTCATCTGTGTAAGCTCACCTTTCTCAGTTACAGACTGAGGTAATATAAAATGAGGATAGTAACGGTATCTAGTTCACTGGCCTATTGTGAATATCAGAAAAAATACTGTAAGGAGCTTACCCAGGCTTAACAGTAGGGGTCGTTACTACTGTTATTTTTGATGAAAAGTGCATAAGTTTTTTTATAGACATCTTATTATCTATTGCCGAATTAGTGTCCAAAATTTTTTCTCTTTGATTTTCCTCCTAACTTGAAATTTCATTTTTCTGGTTCCCAACTTCTGGCTTTTTCTCCTCCATCTTAGAATCCATGAGTCAAGCATCCAGCCTCATGGTAAGTGGTAGAGGGGCAATAAGGAATAATGCCTCTTTGCTAAAAAAGAGCCTGTTCCTTAGTCTGGAATATAATTCCACCATGAGCCATACTGAATGACAATATGGACGAGAGCCATCCTTAGGCAACAGATTGTTTCCTTCCAATCCCACCTGCCAGGCTGTGGTTAGCTTGGAAGTGGGAGATAGGCTGCAGGAAAGTCCTGGAGACCTAACCAGCCAGGACGGCCTCTGCTCGCACCAGTCTGAGAGGGGAGGCTATCGTCCATGGCACAAAGCCAGAACCTTGGGGGAACAGTGGTGGCCCCACCACCAGGTAACTACCCGACCCCCTGGAGCTGTGGGCAAGGGCCTCCCACGGACAGCGGTCAAGGATATTCTCAAAGAGTTGATTGAAGAAGAAAATGACACTCCCAATGAATAGTAAGAACAGGGCCTTCTCATCGCCCCATTACACTAAGCCTCTGATCGACATGGGGGAAGAAACCAGATCCCTCTAAAATGGAAGTCAAATTTAGACACTAATTGTGCCTCAGCTGTGGCTTCCACCTGGGTACCCACAGTTACAGTGTAGCTGTCTGCCCCTTGTGCGTGGTGAAGGCTCACTGCACAGTAGCAAGTGGGGCCATCTGTGTGGAGAGCAGAGCAACAGGATGCAAAGTAGAGGTGGTGCTGGACAGCTGCGGCACTGTCCTCGAGCGCGGGGAGGAGGGGCGCCTCAAGCTGCTTGTTTTACCTGGAGCCAGCCTCGGCCATGCCGACACTGACACTTGAAGGGGCATGTTGGGCTGGCGGCCCAGACATAGATCACAGCAGCAGGAGGCACCCCTGGGCCTGGCATTTAGACATGTTTTATGGGCCCTTGTTGGCTCAGGAGCACAGGAGTAAGGCTTGTTGGCCTAGTGCATCCCTGGCTTCACGCCCTGCTGCAGGAAGTCATTCTACTTGGCTTGACTCCCACTGTTTATATCTTGAAGTCTGGTGAACTTGGATACCAGGGATCAGAATTTATATAAACAAACAGGTTATCACTCTTGTGCACATAAGGGCCTGTATCTGATCATCCCCATATCCCGACTGTAAGAGAATTGGGTTAGGGATGGGTGTGTGTGTGTGTGCTCACACTCGCACAGACCATCATAAGTGTCTTCACCACAGTACCATAATACCTAGAGTGTCAAATTTGATCTGTTAGCACAATGTAATCCAATTGGTTTGGCTGAAGTGCCGAGTGGCTTTGCTCCGTAGCAGCACCCCCTTCCATGTGGATGTGCTTATTTGTGCCCTGTGGTCTCCCTCAGAAAGCTTGTTCCACCCAATCTCTGTTAACAGGGAAGGGCTTTGGAATCTGTATGTCCCCGGAAGAAAGAAGGCTATGAGCTACAGTGTCCATGTTTTATATTTTGATTTTAAAAATGATTTGTCTGTTCTTATTTCTCACTAGAAAGGATTGGCATCTGTGAATAAGGACATGTACACTATATATTGTTTCCCCCTTTTGTTTTTCTTCTGCTTTCTTATTTCTAGTACACTTTATTTTTATACTTTTCAAGCTTACTTGCAATTTCTTTGGTAATATTTATCTCTTTTTAAAAAAATCTGCAATTCACTTTTCTTTTGCAGGTGGGTCAAAAACTCTGCCCTGGGGGTGGCAAACCATGGTGTGGGCCACATCTGACTAGCTACCTACCTGGATTACTTTTGTACATAAAGTCTCACTGGCACACATTCACTTCATTTGTTTATTATCGTCTCTGGCTGCTTTTGTGTACGTGGCAGAGTTGAGTAGTTATGACAGAGATCACGGGGCCCCAAAGCCAAAAATGCTGTCGAGCCCTTTATAGAAAAAGTTTCTATATACCCCTGCTCTAGTTTATGGTCTAATATAATCTTAAAATACCACCTTACTGAAGTGAATTTATTCTCATTGGTACTGTGTGTGTGTAGCAAGAACTCGTGTTAATTCTTCTCAATACCAATGTTGTCCTGCTTCCATGGAGCATCCACTCTCCCTGGTATTTTTCCAGCCTCTTCCTTCTCTATCCCAGATGGGGAGCTCAGTCCTGGTCCTGGATTCCCATCCTCCAGCGCAGCACACAGGTCAGTGTGTAAGTCTTGGTAAAAATTTCAGATGATGGAAATAAGGAAAACAACTTTATATTGAGGATGAGGCACCTAGCTGTGACAGCCCCCACGAGGAATACCTCCTGGATCATCTTGCTTCTTCACCATATCACTTGGCCCATCTCTTCCTTAATACCCACCTCGTATCTGATCTGAATCCCCCCTCTCTTCATCATGGAGAACGATCATGCTCCCCACTCCTAACTTGCAGAGTGTGCCTGTATGTTCTCTGACACTGGAATATGAAAGAAAACAGTTTTTTTGATGCAAGAAGAACGCTATTTCCCTAGGCTTCAGGTTTCTATAAGAAAGGGAGCATTCGTGGCCTCTCTCTAACCCTCACTCATCCTTCACCAGGAAGGAAGTATGTCCAGTAGTTTCGATATGCTTGGGGTAAGGACTGCACCTGCTGTCCCTTCCTCAGTCTCTTTCTCCTAGGAAACAGCTGTCTCGAAGTTCACACTCTGGTCTTGCAGTTTGGTGGGATAAATTCAGCTCAGGGTGGTGGGGGTATGTGGTGCATGAGTAGGACTACTGATAGACTAAGAGTGGAGTTTGATGAGCAACATAAGCCTAGTAGATGGAAGCTCTGGGGCCAGGCCATGTATCTTAAGGTAGGTTTCCTCATCAGGAGACACTGAGGTAAGTATATAGGTGCCAGCGGTTTATATGGAAGGTGAGCTTGGGAAGCACTAGTAGGGGTGTGGGGAGGGGAATAAAGCAATTAAAGATGCATTTTTAAGCCAGCTACCACTGTGGGTGATTAGAGCTTCATCCCACTGTAAACTCCGGGAAACAGCAGAGAACTTGCCCAAAGGGTTATCCTACTGGAGAGGCGAGAAAGCTGAGATATTTATACTTCAATTCTTGTCAATAATTGATTGAGGGCTGCTCCTTGGAGGTGACTTCTAAGACATGTTTACCTTCCCCACTTCACAAAGCAGCTTTCTTGTAAGACCAGAAGGAGGCAGGCAGGTGGGACCAGAGCACTCTGGGTCACTACCACACACTCTGGTGTTGAACGGTGAATTTGCATCTCTTTCTTAGTTAATCCTGCTTTAACTTTACTAAGGACTGAGAGAATCAAATTTGGGGCTTTGGCAGGACTTTTCTTCTGATCATGTAATCCCATGTTTGGCTATTAGATGTGGCTTTTTCAGAGGCCGCAGGTCCTAGCCCAGCTCCAGAGAGTCCCCCAGAGCTACCTCTATGGAGGTCCTCATGTAAGCCTCCCTGCCTGCCTGGGCTCCAGCGCCCTCTTCAAGACAAGTGCCCGGTGATCAGAGATCAGAAAAAGAGGGAGCTGGGGGCAAGACAAAGGGAGTGAGGACATCACAGCATAGCCACAGGACACAGCAAAAACAACAAAAAGATGAGGCACTCCCTCAGTCAAGAGTAGAACAAGTAGCAGAATCAAAGAAGGGGAGTGCTGAGGGAGGAAAGGACAGGGATTGCAAAACAGCTGTGTTATGTGGAACAAGACATGTTTTCCTGTCTATAGGGGATCACACCATCCTGCCATGTGGATTCAAACAGAGATCTGTGAGAAGCAAGAGAGATTAGTCCAAGAACTGGTCCAATGAAGACCTTCATCATTCCAAGTAGCACCCAAAGCCTGCTGGACTGGTTCACATGCTTGCTGCTCAGAGAGTAGGACCACCGCCCAACAGCACCGCACGCCTGTGGCCTATCAGGATAAAGAACCACAGGCCCCACCCCAGGCCCGGAATCAGGTTCTGCATCCTAGCACAGTCCCAGGTGACTGGTAAGCACAGCATTATCTGAGAAGCACTAGATTAAACATCAAAATATTGTGGGGTGTCTCATGGACTCCGAGGATAGGGCTCTAGCAAGAGCTCAGAAACACACTGGAACCAGAAATTTCAATGCTGTCAAGATGTTCCACCTGTCTCTTGCCTCTGATCCCAAAGTCCAGTCATAAGATTCAGGTGGGCAAATAAAGATTAAACTCTTGGAAATCAAGTCTTCCAATTGCCAACTTGGTTACACTATGAGGAGAAAGTTGGATTTCTTTTAGAACTATGTGGATGCATCTTTTTTGTTTAAATTAAGGTTCTGTAAGTACCAGCCAAGGACTGAACTGACAACCATTTCTGTAATAAAGTAATAAATCATGGGGATGGTTAAGGAAGCAAAAAACACTACATTCTTGCTTTGTTCAACCAATTAAGCAATAAGCCATCTGGGGCCTTTTGTTAATTACTGTCAAACACAATTTATACAATTGAATTCAGCCTTTTATTTAGTTATATTAATTTATTCCACAACTTCAAAGACCCAAAATGTAAAAAATAAAGTTCATTGAAAAAAAAATAGAGGTTCTGTTTAATTTTTATTTTTCAACCATTAATAACACCTTTTACAAGGTTGCCATCTGAGAAGTTTTAGCTCCATCTCAGCCTCAGGATGTTAGGGGCATTTGTTTTAAATATAGATATGTCTGAAGGAAGAAGACAGTGGCTAAGATCTTTTCTCTCAGTGGGATGATGAATCTACCTAGACCAACACTGTCCAGAACTGTCTGCAGTGATTTAATGGTCTGTATCTGTGCTGCCCAATACAGTAACCACCAGCCACATGTGGGTACTGAGCACTCGAAGTGTGACCAATACAGCTGAAGAACTGAATTTTAAATAATCTTTAATGAATTTGCATTTAAATAGCCATGTGTGACTAGTAGCTACTATATTAGCACAGGTCTAGAGTATATTCTGAGGAAGGGGAAATGTGGTGGGCCGTTGATGTAAGCAGGTAGAGAAGGAATATCTAATTATGACAAGCATTGTCTGGAAACCCTCACTGCCTGCCTAGTGCTTCTCATTTGAAAAACACTGTATTCTGAGACAGCCCAAAGGAGATCAACATCTTTGAGGAGAGGAGGCCATGTGGAGAGTGAACTCCACCTGGAGAGAAATGGACATGAATGGTGTCTTCTCAATACCTGAACCAACTCCACTCAACAGCTCTTATAGCTGAGCTAGGTAGTCCAGGTCCTCAAGGAGAGCCATTGAGCTCTTGCTTGTATTGATTCTGCTCTAGTGGAAGTGTGTTCTCCTCTAAGGGGTGGACATTCAGCCTGTGGGCACATTTAGGGGTCCTATAGGCTCAGAGACGGCCATGCCAGCCCTTGTGGGCATTAACACCCAACTCTGGTTCCTCTAATGAATTTTGGCTTAAACTCTGGCATTTCCATTCCAGGGAGGTTTGCCTCTTTGCAAAGGTTGTTATTTCTGATCTGGTCAACGCAAACCCTCTAGCAGGACATCAGGACAGTTTCTCAACAGTATATACTTTTGTTAATGAAAATGCTGAGTGAGTGACCCTTCCAACATCAGCAACTGAAGAGAAATATATTAAGTGAGATTTTGGTTGGGGTTAACCAATTTACAGAAAGGCTGAAGCAGGATGAATGGAGATAGAAAGTACTGAGGAAATTCTCATAAGAGGAAAATGTTTTATTCCAGTCTACTGTCTCTTTTCAGCTGCTGGGCTGAGCTGGAGAATTGGGCCAAAGCTCCCTTCCATCTTCTCTCCAACCTGATCTTCTTTCAGTAGCTTCCCTTCCTTCTTCTGAGCTATGGCTCAACCAGTGAACATGAAATTTTTCCTAATAAGCCTGATCCAAAGTTTTGGGGTTGTCTTGCCATTATACCCTCTTCACACTTTAATTCATGATGATCCAAGGTAGGGCTTTGAAACAAATTGATCGATTGGGTCAATGTATCCTGGAGGTGTTGTCAGAGAATGTCCAGGCCTCTCTTATTTGTCGAAGATAAAACTAGTCATACAGTGATCAATGGAAAAAACAGCAAAGAATCCTCTGTACCATGTAATGATCACCTTCCAGTGATGAAGGCAATGAGACAATGCATCCATTTCCTTTCCTTTTTCTTTTTATAAACAGCCTGCAGTCAATGAAAGAAGGTACAAGGAAAGGCTTTCTATAATCATTCATGGAGCTTTCTTCTCTACTCTCACCAGAAGCACAGATGCAAAAGGGTCAGCTTTGTGAAGTATGTGTGCTCTTTTAGTTCACTTGGGGTTGAGCCGTGATGCCTAACCCACTCTTTTCCATCGACGTTGCATTCACTGGTCTGCCACAGCATGGACCTTGTCGAATCGCCACAGCTGGCTGGCTTTCCCATCACACTGGTGCAAGTACAAATCTCTTCTGTTTTCCTGCTCCACAGCTTCCATGCATTTCCCAGAAAGAATGTGGACAATCATTCCATTCTGAAAAAATGAGAAGAAAAGGAAGAGAAAAGTAAGTCAGTTTCCTGAAATCAGTCAGCAAAGAAGGGTACTTCTAAAATTTGTGCTAATTATTAAGAGAATTATAGAGATGGTGTAAACTGACCTGGTAAGGAACTATTTTGGTTAATATAAAATATAGTTTAGGTAGCTATAAAATTTACATATCATTCAGAGCCTTGGGGTCATTAATTCAATTATCTTTATTGTGGTTGTATAATTGTGTCATTTCTTAGAGTCCTACTTAATAGAATGCCAATGAACAAAGCATGTTTAGTCTTTATCTTGGTGATATTCATCATTCTCACTGTACTAAAAATTTCCTCTTTTCAAAAGGATATGATTTAATCTCTGCCTTCTATTAATCCTGCAATTTAGTACTGCTGCCACCAGGTTGCAGTAAACAGTAAAACCTTAAGGGTACACTGAAGGCCTAAGTCACGCATGTTTGGAAGATAATAGCTCCTTCCTGTTCAAAATCTACCAGGTTTAATATTGCATATATCCTCTTTTCAATAAAAAAAAAAATCTGATTTTTTAATGAGAAACATAATTAACCAGCTGTGTTGATAATTTGTGGGGTTTTTTGAGATACAATTCACTTGCCATTACATTCATTCTTTTAAAGCATACAACTTGATAGTATTCAGTATATTCTAGAACATTTTCATCACCATAAAAAGAAACCCACCACTAACAGTCACTTCCCATTCCTTCCTCCATCCAGCCACTGGAAATCACTAATTTACTTCCATATTTATGGATTTGTCAGTTCTGGACATTTTGTATAAATAGAATCATATATAATACATGGCCTTTGTGACTGGCTTCTTTCACTTTGCATGATATTTTTGAAGTTCATGTTGTAGCATAAAATAATACCTAATTTCTTTTTTTTATTATGGTGAAAATAAATAACATCAAACTTACCATCTTAACCATTTTTAAGTATAAAGTTTGGTACTGTTAAGTATATTCACATCATTGTGAAACAAATACTCAGAACTTTTTCATCTTTCAAAACTGAAACTCTGTCCTCATTCAGTGACTCTCCCTTCCCCCCAGCCCCGGGTAGCCACTTTCTGTCTCTATGAATCTGACCACTTTAGACACATCATATAAGTAGAATCATACAGCATTTGTCTTTTTGTGACTGACTTATCTCACTTAGCATGAAGTTGCCAGGTTCATCCACATTGTAGCATGTCAAAATGTCCTTCCTAAGGCTGAATAATTCTATCACATGTATACCCACATTTTGTTTATCCATCACTGGACACGGGTTGCTTTTACCTCTTGCTGTTGTGAATAGTGCTATGATGAGCACTATTTTTTATGGCTGAATGATAATACGTTCTTAAAGTCTTAGATTTAATGCCTGAAATATGCTTGGTGTACCTTACTAATCTTTTACTTGCTATTTTAAAGTGCTATTTCTAAAATGCATCTGATCCATAGGACTTGCTTAGAAGAATCCCTATGATCATTCATAAGGGGCCTTAACTTGGTTTCTAGACTTCTCTGAGCAGGTGTGGGCCTGGGGTCGTAGGTTTATTGTCACCAAAGCCCCCTGAGCTTTGTTCTCAAAGGCTTATTGTGGGTTCAGCTTAAACTTTCCGTTGTGTAATTTTCTTTTTTCACAGCCTGCTTTAAGAGTACAGAGTTCTACTTAGCTATTTTACCCTTTATACCCAAGCAGAAGTTGAGGAAAAGAAATTTTTAAAAGGTTATGTGTATTTACTTGTTTGTAACTCATTTCAGAAAGGGTTTGAGGTGGAGGAAAGCTGTGCATGGACACATGTTGTTGATACAGTCACCTTCCCATCCCAGTCTCACATCAGGGACTGGCTCCTTCCTAAGTCCTATTTCCTTGTTATTGGTGCATAACCTCTGCACAGGATCTAAAGCTTCTCTCCCCTGGGATAACAGGAATCACAGTCTTACTAAAATGATAAACTTTTGTTCTCAGTGGAATTTGCTAAGGAAGAAAGTGGTATCTATATTTACATCTGTTTTGCTGTGGGAGGGAAGGACCCTCCTGGTGCTCCTAAAGCCACACCATTGAGCAGCTGACTGCTTCTCTAACGTGCCACATGGTCCTACTGGTGACCTGAGCTAATGAACTTCAGAAAGGGACTGTCTCTTCTCTCCGCCACAGTCAAGGTCAGAGCTTTGCAGAAATGGCAAATGAGTACATCTCAAGGTGCTGGCAGGTCAGCTTGGCTGCAAGGCCAGCTTTACCTTCTCCTAGGGCCTTAGTGCAAAGTTACAGGCCTACTGGTAACACTTGACTCCTCGGAAGAGCCAGGATGCAGACCAGCTAGTTGGGGGAGGTGGGTCACTCACCTCCTGGAAGTCCCAGAGCTGCTGGTGGATGCCGGGGCCTTCCCCGGTGCAGGGCTGCAGAATCACCTGCTCTTGCCTGACGTCGAAGCACAGGTGCTGTGGGCTGCCGAAGTGGATGCCCTGCCTGCCGGTGTGCTCCAGATGCTGGGACAGAGGGGACAGTTATCAGCACAGCTAGGAGATGAGAGAAGGAGAGCTCACAGTACAGTGAGGTCTAGGAGTAGCCTTCCAACTCTCCTGCGGTCTGCAAGACCATACCTCTAGTCAAGTCTACAAATACGGTGCTAGACTAACCCTGGCCTCTGAAATCTCCACACACCAGCCGCTTTCTCAGTCACAGCTGTACACCCCGGCAGGAGCCTCCCTCACTCTGGTTGCTGCCTCCTATGTGAGGCCACCATGCTGAGGCCCCGGGGTGCTTGTACGTGTACTGGAGAGGGCTTCAGTCCTTCTGGAGAGAGCTGACCTGGCCCTGTGACTAGCTTCCCTGCCGTCTCTGCTGAGCCTCGCCCATAGTTACTGTCCACTGGAGGGGTTGTGCATATTCTGCCTGGGTTGTGCATACTCTGCTGTGGGGCTTCAACTCCGGGAAGCCTGTGCAGCCTGGCTGGAGAGCACATCCTGACAAAACATTTTCTGTTTGTTCCTGCAAGTACAAATGGAACTCATTTTTATGTTAATTTTGTGGCTGAGACACAGGATTGGCCTCATGGACATGTGACCTGCGCAGTAGCCGGCCCCTCCCCCACACTCGCTTGGAAGGGCTTCATGTTCTTGGTTTAATACACTTGGCTTAATGCTCTGCTGTCACCATCTGGAAGTTCTTGGTGATTGTTGGATTGTAGGCCCCGCATTTTCATTTGCACTGGGCCCCACAAATTAGGTAGCCAGTCCTGCTTGAAGAATCTCATCACACAGTTCATATAAATTTGAATCTTAAGCCCATATTAGATGCAAGATTGTGGTTTAAAATTTTCAGGGGAGAATAACTTTCTCCTATTCAAAGACTCTGTACAGACAAATAAACTTCCAGTGACTGTGGGTGGATTTTCCTAGTCAAACTTTTCACAGATAAGTTACTCTTTGAAAGTCAAAGCTGGCTTTCTCTGGGAGTCTCATTTCCAGTTTTTCAGCTCTCATGGGCTGAAGGTGGGCCCTCACTGCTTACTCCTGCATGGCACCACCACCTCCGGGTTCCTGAGACTGACAGTGACTATCCCTTGTAGCTTGGCTCATGTCCTGTGGTTCTGTTTGCAGTTGCCTCTTGATTTTTGGCCCCTGGAGATTTCCTTTTACTATAAACTCCATTACTCATACACAAAAGAGGGCGTTTCTTCTTTTTGTATACGGCATATTTACGTGCTTTAAGGGGAAGAGTTTTCAACTTACCTAGTTCACAATTTTGCTGGATACAGAAGTCCTCACTAATCCCTTCCTCCCCACCAAGAATAAAAAACCTTGAAAGGTGAACATTCTGTCTGCATGAGGGAGGCTGTATTGTCCCCAGGTGTTGATGCAGGAACCAAGCCTTGGAGAGGTTAGGAAGTCGGCCTGGTATCATACCACTAGCAAGTGATGAGCAGCTGACACTGCATTGCATGGCTTCCTCACTTAGCACTTTATAGCTGTGTCTTCCCTGCGCCACGTGCGAATGCCTACTGGTGTGTTCTGGAAGGCTGGCAAAGGGCAGAGCTGAAAGAGGATAAGGGGACCTATGCATCTGCTTCCCCATGTGCTCCAGCCCAGGGCCCTCCTCTGGGATCCAGGGCTATACGGTCACACCTGGCCTCAGCTGGGCCTCCCCAGAAGGCTGGACTCTAGACCCTCCAAGAGATGTTCTGGCTTTTGTCCCCAAGCTCTTGGGACTTCACGTGACTCATTTGATAAATATCTCCAGGAACTTGGGCCTTGTCGTTTGTTTTTAGTAGAGGCCACTGGGATATAGCCTAATGCAAAGGCCCCTGTCACAGGTGTAAAAGAGAGTGATCTGGGGACAGGCTAGATGTTCTAGGTTAACAAGTTGTGAAGAGAAGTGGATCTACCAACTCTGAGCAGGCATCACTGAGGCTTCCCACCACCTTGGGAAGTTATTCTGTGATGGATATTATGTAAAGAAGACATAACCCCAAGATAAACAGACCTTCCTGATGACCAAGGGGCCTACACAGGTGTTGGAATAGCCTGCTGCGTCCAGAGCCTTCCCCTGACGCAGGCACCTCCCTCCTCTCTCCTCAGATGCTAGGGACGATAGTCTACCAACTACTGGGAATCTGCAGGAAGAAACATGGTTTTACCTTTTGACTCTCTCCTCCAACTTCTGGGAATTATGAACCAGGGATTTTAGAGCCTCAGGGACCCTAGCGGCCTTCAAGGGATCCATGAGCCCTTTGGAGCTGTTCACCTTTTGTACAGATGTGGTTTTGTGTTTTTCTTGGCAAAGGGTCCTTAGACTTCCTGTACTGAAGAATCTGACCCCATGTCTGAAGTTTGACCTCTGAGCTTTCAGGCCCCACTCCTCCACCTGCCCCTCTTGCCCCACTTCTGGGCGCACTCACAAGGAAGACCCATTCTCCCTTTGGTGTGCAAAGCTCAAAATCAGGGAGGCCCCAGCCTCGAAAGCCCTCCCCCAGCCCACCCATCCCCTAACTGTACAAGAACCAAAGCGCTTTGCCCCTCTTGCTGTCTCCACCCAGTTGCCGGGCTGCTTGGGAGCCAGCCCTGCTCTCCTCCAGAGAGTCTCATTATGTAAATAATAATGCTTTGCATTCTCTCTTGCTACATGGGTGGAGTCATCAGTCTTAACACCTGATCCAAATTTGTGGTCAGAAGTTGATTCTGTTCCCCATAGGAAGACCACAGATATAACCCGAGGAAGCTGAGAACCATAGCTGGGGAACGGACCAGCTGCTGGGCTGACCCAGCCCTGCTAGGCCTAGTTTCAACCAGGTCCCTCCTGGATTTCTCATTGTTGATTTCAAATAGTTTGTCCTGTAGTCAGCCATCCATGAACAGGAACCCTGGCTCAAGGAGAGCCATCCCCCATGAGAGAGCGGAGGCCCTGCTAACCATGCTCGGCCTCTCTGTGGCTGCCCTTTTGCTGTGACCAAGGCCTTGGTGTTGTTGGGTGCTGAGGGTCCAGCCGCACTGCAGATGGGGCCTCAAGGAAACCATGGAGCTGGGCTTCAGTGCTGTTTCTTGCTCCCTCCCCAAACAAGTCATCAGAGGCTTTCATTCTGGGGAGAGACCCCCGCCAGCCTTGGCACCCTATAGAGCTTATGGCTATCCTCTCCCCAGGGGAATCTGTGCTCTTTGACATCCTTCTGACTTTGGAGTCAAAGTCTTTCTCCCTGTGGAAGGAATTTCATAAATGAAATGGCTCTGTGCATGGGCAATATTCTGAATGAGGTCAGTGCTCTGAAACTCAGAGCCACTGAGCCATCTGTGTGTAAGGTGTCCTCTGGCAACAGGAGCAGATGGTAGTCTGACCACGAGGCCTGTCTGTTCCAAATCCAGCCCTCCCTCTCCACTTCACACACACACACACAGACACACACACACACACACACACACACATATGCATGCATGCGCATACACACAAGGGCACAGACACACATACGTACTGCCCCACCTGTGGTGTGCCCACCTTCTCCGGTACCCAGAGCTCCCCTTCTGGGCACTTTGGCTCCTGAGATCCTAATTAAATACCTAAAATACCCCACACATCTCCTCTGGTGCACTTCAGTGTCAGAGGACTTGAGAGTTAAAGAGGACAATCACAGTCGTGGTTTGAGGTCCCACTGCAAATGGGGAGCATCTTCTGGGTCCCCCCCAAGTGGTCCAGTGCCTACAGCCCCACTCAGGTCTCCTCCTTTCCCACCTCTGCTTCTAACTGGCTGATAATCTGTGCCCATTGCCTTTACCTGCCAGAAACCTGGACACACCTGAGTTTGCAACCCTGGGCTGGCCCCTGTCTGAGCCTCAGTTTCCACATCTGTCAGAAGCATTGGCTGAACAGCCTCTCCATTTTTTCTCAGGCTTGGCTGCTTGCATTCTCTGATGATGGCCCATGTCTGTGCCTGCAGGTAGGCGCAGGATGGGTAGTGCTGAGAGGGGTCATTAACGTGGGGAAATGTGGGCAGTTAAGGGACGTGGGCCACTTGAAAGGAGATGCTCCAAAGGGAAGTTGAGGTGCATCCCAGGAAAGACACTTTCAGGTCTTCCCTGGACTCCTGAGAACTCGGGGTACCCACCTGCTGCTGCTGACTGTCGCTGCATGGAGCCAGCGCCATGGCACAGCCCAGGATGTCCCCTGCTGCCTGGCAGTCTGCGCAGAGGCCGAGTCCAGTGTTGTGGAGCTGCAAGTGGACATCACACAGAGTGAGCCACACCCTCACTGCAAAGACACCCTCTGTCAGGCTGCTCCTCGACTTCCTCTATTCAGTGTAGTTCAAGGTGCCAGGCTCGGGCCATACAAATGGGCGAGGTCAAGAGGAAGCTCTCGATCTTCAGGGATGGACCTGAAGGGGCTGGGCTGCACCTGTCATGCTGATGGCCCTGGGACGGGGTAGGGGGCAGCCCGGGCATCTCTGGCAGAGCAGGCCTGGAAGCCTGTGGCCCTGTGAGCTTGGGACTGGTTAGCCAGGGTTGTGCAAGAGCATCTGAACGTACTGTTTCTGCCTGGGGAAGCTGCCCACTGGCTCTCCTTCCTCCTCACCCTCCCTGGGCTATGACTTGCCTTTCCGGAGAACCTGGGCCTGCCTTCAGATGGGTACAGGTCAGGGTAGATGTGAGCCAGAAACCAGGAGAACATCCGACACCCCAGTCTCCTCTGCAGCTGCAGGCGTTCTGTGCAGTCTGGCTTCTCTGCCTGGGGCAGGAGGACACACAGGCAGGCAGGTGGAGAAAGTCTGCTTTATACCAAATTCACGTGGTGGGTGGGAAGATGCTGGAAGATTGGGACAGGCGGAGAAGACCAAGAGCACAGTTGCCAGGGCTGCAAACAGGAGGAGGGAGGGGCATGTGTGGGGAGGGGCAGGGTGACGGGTCTTCCCTGGAGAGAGCTGGTGGTGCTCTCACCCTGTACACAGCCCCTCGCATTGCACTCCACAGGGACAGTCATGTCTGCACTTGGCTGCATGGAAAACAGCAAAATGGGGGGGGGGGCTTTGCACTCATGTTGGTGTGGTGTGGCACCATGAGGGCCCTTATGGAGGCAGAAACTGACCCAAAAGCAACTGGGATGAAGTAAGCTGGGAAATTGTGGGGTAGGGGTGGGGACAAGGCGAGTTTTCCTTGCGTCTACTATGGGGCCCAATTTCCTCCATTAATGAGTCATTACTTTGGGCTACATTATCCCTTTTCCTTGAGATTCTTCTGTATAATATAATTGTCCTGGAATGGATATCAAGATAAGTCCTTAATATTTTAGGATAAATAAATATATTTGGCTGTATTGATAAGATTCAAAGAACCCTATCCATAAATTTAGTTCTAACTCCTGGATATTTTTAGGGAAGAGAGAGGTGCTAAGGAGGGCTTATAAGGACTAAAAACAGAAAAAAGAAAGAGGATGATCTCCTGGGGTGAGGAGAGGAGAGGGAAGGGGTCTGGGACAGGAAGTCCACATCAGAATTCCAACTTGATGGCTCTGGTCCCGCAATCAGACAGTGCTCCAACAGGCTGGTGATGCGAGTTGGTTTGATTCTGCTTTTTCTCTCTGAGTCCTCAGATGGAAATGTTGGAAGAATCAGGTCTCAATCTGCCATACTGGAATGTTCTCTCCCTTGTGATCCCCAAAATACCGGGCTCAGAAATGCCCAAGGAACTTGTTAAAAATGTGAACTCGTAAGCCCTGCCTCAGAGACTGTGATTCAGCAGGTTGGGGCAGGAACCCTGGAATCTGCATTTTCACTATTTATCCTGGTGAGTCTTACCTACAGAACATTTGAGAACAACTCTGAGGCGGGAATTTCTTGTTTATTCTGCATGTTTAACCCACCATTGAGCCAAAGAGATCTACTACTATTTCCTCTAAGGGAATTAGTATAAGTTTTCTGCTGCTTTCTTGGCATTCTTAGTGTTCACTCAAGGCCCCCTAACTATTCTCCATTTGCTGTGAAGGCAGACACAGTCCTTCATGCATGCATGTCCCACCACCTCCACCCTGGTGAGGAAACAGATTGGCAAAGCTACCAGCCCTGTCTGACCTCAGATGAGGGGCATGATGACAACGAGCTGTCCCTTCTGTACAACTGTGCTTGACAGAGGAGAAAACAAGAGTGTCAACGTCTCCCACAGTCTCTGGGTGTCCAGGATTTCTGTAATTTAAAGGCCACTTGAGAGCTTTGTGGCTGAGGTGGGCAGGGAGATGGAAGGATAGAAATCATTAGACAAAATTAATTTTTAGCTATTTAAATTTAAAGCACATTCATGCTACTGAATACCTTCAGGGAGGCAGTAATGTTCTTGAAATCCTGACATCAAAGTAAACAATAGGACATTTCCAAAACAGGAATTAATGGAAATGTTCAAAAGAAAAAAATGTCAGAAAAAAAGGTCCCCTCTCCTCACTTACCAGCAGGGGTGCCATTCTCCTCCTGAAAGTCATCAAATGATAGGGACACTTGTGGACCAGAGAATGGAGCACACCCAGCCAGGTGGGCTAGTGAAGGGCGCTGTTCCAGGGCTTTTGTGGGTCCTGGGGATCTTACCTTTGGAGGCCCATGCCCAGTGCAGCAAACATGCATGTGAACCCATGTCGCACACTAAATGGCACTGTGTGTCACCCAGTAACAACTGAGCTACGTGGCAGCAGGCAGGCAGTAATGCATTGCTTGTGGACATGGAATCTAATGGCCGTGTGGGGGCCTAGAAGCCCTGCTGGGCTTTCTCCTTACCTTGCTCAAGGACAGGGCCTCTGGGTTGTGCCTGTAGAAGGTATCTTTGAACGAGCCCAGCCAGGCCTCAGCAATGTGAACCTTGTTCTGCAGGTCAGCCTCCTGGTCAAGGGGGGAGCTGGCACCTGGATTTTGGTAGATATGCCCCACCCGAGAGCAAGGAAGGATTTCAACAGAGCCACCACAGAGCCAGGCCTGCCATGAAAAGAGAAAATAAATACCTCCACACCCCACCCCAAGAACACGGCGGGTAAGGGATCCTGAGAGGGGCTGGCAAATATTCAGGAAATTGTGAGCACAAAATGGTAAAGATAATTATAGTACTCAGGGTGCAGCTGAATTTCCAGATCTGGTAGTCCAGGCAGGGGAGTGACAAGGTGGGAAGAATGGGGGCACCTGCCCTGGGACGGAACCAGTGGGGCAAGGGGGCCACCGCCAGGCGACTACCCGAATGTGCCCCGGCCCTGAACCACACGGGTGGATTTAGCACTTAGAGAGATGTGGCAGTGCGGATTAGCATCCCTGTTTCCCAGAGCTGCTTCCTCGTGGGGGAAAAGTTGTCCCTAGAGGTCAGGGAATTTCTACAAGCTTGCGAAGTCTCCTGCTGCAAAGGTATGAGCGCCACTTGCATGGAGATGAAAGCAAGGTTTCCTTAAAAGTAAGTCTTTCCCACTTCAGGAGGGTTCTCTGCTCTTTGCTCCCAAATGCCTGGAATTCATGTGACAGGAAGCTGTTCAGTCCCTACTTGAGGATGAACATGAAAAGGAAAACATCCCTAGCAGAGACAGCATATGAACTGAAACACCAAAGCTGGGCTTCCCAGACTGGGTGCCCAGGTTCCCGCTCCCTAGCGGACTCACAGGGCCACATGTGAGTCCGCTCACTTTGGGGGCGGTGTGTGGAGGTATTTATTTTCTCTTTTCACATGTGAGTCTGCTCAAACACTTTAAATGTTTGAGAACAACAGTGACATCTGTTCGCTGTTCTGCAAACTGCAAACTTGCAGTAATTAAAGTTTCACCACTAGATGGCAGCACTTTTGATGCTGTCCGTCTTTGCTTTGGGGTTTCAGAGGTTGTGATGAAAAAGCAAGTATCACATTAAAATCACTGTGGGACAGGAAATGAGGAGGTGGCATCCCATCCTATCCCACCGTCTGAGAAGCTGTGTGGTGCCCAATAGTTGCGAAGGTGTTAGGACAGATACTTACTCAGCTGTTTGGAGCAAACCCTCCTTATCCTCAGGGGATATGCTGCACGCCCCCCAGGGGATGCCTGAAAGCACAGATGGTCCAGAGCCCTGTATATACTGCGCTTTCCTATGCACACATACCCATGATAAAGTGTAATTTATAAATCAGGCTCAGTAAGAGATGAACAACAGTAATACAATAGAACAATTTTAACAATATACTGTAATAAAAGTTATGTGAATGGGGACTCTCTCTCTCAAACTGTCTTATCCTACTACACTCACCCTTCTTCTGATAATGTGAGGTGATAAAATGCCCAGTGATGATAGGAAGTGAGGGGAATTTCACAGGCATTGTGACATAGCATCAGGCTACTGCTGCCCTTCTGACAATACATCAGTGGGAGGATCATCTGCTTCCACACGGGTCACTGAAACTGTAGATATGGGGGCATCACTGTCCTCGATACTCAGAATTGTCTGGAGTTTGTTTGGCCTGTGGGTGTCATGAACAGAGAAAGTACTAAGGGGAAGGAGACTGACACTCTGCCTCTGACTCCAGGGGAGTTCATGAAGGAGGCTGGGGTTAAAGCCAAGGCAGGGCACAAGTGAGATGGGAAGTGAAAGAAATGAGAGCTTCAGACACACTTAATGATGTTATAATTTGCCCTCAGTCTTATCCCTGACCAGTGGCATTGCTAATGGCAGCCCCCAAGCTGTGACCATACTCACACTCCAGAGACCCCACCTGGGTCCTCCCTTGGTCCAGGGCATACCTTGAGAGACAGTTCGAGGTTTTCGCCACCTTGCAGTAACATGAGGGGGTCATACGCCCCAGTGTTTTGGAAGTAATGTCTGTCCATGGCCACAACCCCACTGGGCACCACAGGGCTCCTGGGCAGAGAGAAGGTGGAATAGAGTGCAGTTCAGAACACAGAGCACATCAGGAGGCTTGCCGGTGGGAGCCCCAGGGGCTAAGAGGGCGGGGTCTGGGCTCTGATAGGTCTCGGGGCTTTTAACTGCAACACTGGAGACAAGCAATCATGTCAAAAATCCCAGTTTTTCATGGAAAGAGAGCTATGGCTGCCAGGGCCTTTTATTCCCCATCCAGGGGTCTGCATCTGAGGCTCCCCTGCCCTCTGGCTTGAGTGCCCCTGCAAAGACCTTTGGGAAGAAGGCCCTGGTTAAAATAAGATACCCTAAGGCAGGTGACATCAGGCCTGGACAGAAGGAAACAGTCAGGCTCTGCCCTCCTTTCTTCCCTCATCCAGATGTGGGACTCAGGCAGGTACAGTGCGGAGGGTCATAGGAGCCCCTGGGGGCCAGGCATGCCAACCCCCCACCAGAGTCCAGGTCCAGGGGGGAAGGCGAATCTTGGAGAGAGCTGACACAGGACAGCGAGAGCCTGAGGTGGGGACCTCCCACCCCGTCACCGCTTCCCCCACAGAGGCCTGGAGCTCAAAATCAACCCAGGGAGACAGCCAGGAGGACACCCGGAAGGCAGATTTAAACATGAGATGACTAAGCTATTACTGACTTTGACTAATTTGCCCAGAAGTTTTATGCTATTAGTTGGAAAGAGCCATCAAGATAGAAATTACCTAAGTTGATTTATTAGAGAATAAAGATAAATATTTTTTGTATATCTAAGCTTGTGGGTAATCAGTTCTGCTGTTAGAGTCATACTCCCTTGGGTAGCGCCTTGAAGTCCTATTCATGCCTGATGCCTTTATTCTGTGTCCCTGTGCTAGATACTCAGAAACTCAACTCAAGTAATTGGTTGGTGTTAGGCAGTAGGTGACAGACTGGCAGATGGAGGTCAGCTGCCCAAAAGTGGACTCCACAGGGTCCCCTGTCCCACTGGTGCTTACACTGCCTACAGTGTGACCTTGACATTCCTCTCCCAAGGGGGTGTCTGTTCTCCTTCCCATGAACCTGAGTGGGCCTGTGACAGCACTGGAGGTGACCCTGGGTGCCTTCTGAGGCTGGTTATAGAAGGGGCTACATACCTCCAAAACACGCCGAGTGAAAGATGCCTGAAGCGAGAGGCCAGGTACTGTGTGCCCTGACAGGGCCAGTCCATAGGGCTGGTTGGCGGTTGCCAGGGATAGGGGCCGGGGAGCAGCGGAGACCCTGCCTAATGGGTAAGGGACTTTACTTTGGGGTGATGGAGATGTTTTAGACTAGACAGAGGAGGCAGTTGCACAACATGGTGGATATACTAAATGCTACCGAATTTTTCACTCTCAACGGGTGACTTTTATGTTATGTGAAATTCTCATCAAGACATTATTTTTTAAAAGCAGGGAGGAGGTACAGCTTGTATCACCAGCCCTCTTGGGATTGCCTCACTCTGAGGCCCCAGCCAGCGGACACACAGCCACCTCTGGGGGGCCGCGCGCCGGCCTTCAGTCGCGGGACAGTGTCGCAAGATTGCGGCCCCAGCTCTTCGCGTTTCTGGACATTCTAGCCCAGTCCGGACTAGTCCTGCTGAGACTCCGGATACCCTGGGGCACAGACAACCACCCCGAGGCTCCCACAGGGTGCATGAGTTTCATAAATCGGTGGTTGTTCTACACCACTAAGTGAGTGGTTTGCTTGGCTACAGATGGTGTTTAGCGCATGTCCTCAAAGAGAGTATAATTGTCCAAAAACTAAACACGCCCAAACACTAAACTGAGCAACTCACACAACTGGGGGTACTATGAGCGTTGTGGTGTCTCAGCATGCACCTGGCTGAAGTCTTCCTCTTCCCTGAGGAAGTCCCCAAGGCCAGAGCAATCCCTGGGTGACCAGGTGAGACAGACCTGGGGCAGCATCCCAGCACAGCCTCTGCCTCTGTCCCCACAGGGGCATCCAGGGGAGCGGCCTGCAGGGCTGCCGGACTCCACTCACACAGCAGGGAAACAGCCCTCACACACAGTGCCTGGCCCTGCGTTGTAGAAGGGGCTACATACCTCCAAACACACTGAGTGAAAAGATGCCTGATGCGAGAGGCCAGGTACTGTGTGACTGCCCTGACAGGGCCAGTCCGTAGGGACAGAGAGCAGGTCAGCGGTTGCCAGGGACAGGGGCTGGGGAGCAGAGGAGAGTCTCACTCAGTGACTTAGGCGACTTTCCCAGCAGCCCTGCACGGGATGTCTTGTTGTTACCCTAGATTAGTGGTGAGGAAACTGAGGCATGGAGGAAGTAATTGTAAGACACCAGTGGAGCCTGGATTCGATCCCAAGCAGTCTGGCTGCCAAGCTGGTCGTGGGGAAGCGAGGGAGAAGCAGGCCGTGCGAGGGGCCCTCACCTGATGGGCTTGATGAGGGACTGGAGAGCCTTCCTTTCACCCTCAGGCAAAGGCGCCCAGTGGAAATCCAGCTTCCAGTCTAGCACTCCACGCTGCAAATCCCTGGAGGGGTAATACTGGAAAGTCTTCCAGTCAATCACATCTATGACTGGAGACACCACCCGGCTCCTGGGAAGAATCGTGGAGTCAAACAAGGAATACAAGCCATTCACTTGCTGGGGATAGAAATGTCATCTGTGCACGCTGCCCATTGTGGTGCCCCCTGTGCTGGACTTAGAAGACTTTGTATGGAAAAGGATGTTAAAATATTGGTAAGTTTTATATTGATTGCATGTTGAAATGAAGATTTTGGACACACTGGGTTTATTAAAATATATTATTAAAATTAATTTCATGTTTCTTTTTCTTTTCTAATATGACTATTAGAAACATTTATATCACATGTGTGACATACGTGGCTCATGTTATGTTTCTGTTAGGCAACACTGTTCCAGAAAACAGTTTTCCTTAAAGAACTGGGGACCCATTTCATTAAAGAACCTGTTTGCCCTCTGTTGACAGCACCAGGGGGCGGGAGAATGGGGTCCTAGGCTCAGCTCTGCCACTAAGGAGCTCTGTGATCTTGAGAGAGCTGTTGAACTTTTCTGGGACTGAGTTTCCCCATTTGTAAAATGGGAGGTTGAACTATTTCTCACAAAGGTATTTCTCAGCCATAATGCTCTAGGACTGTTGTTCTTAACTTCTTTTGGGGTCTTTGATCCCTTGAGAACAAGCGGAAAACTGTGGACCTGCCACAGAAAAATAATCATATGCACATATGCAAAATACTGTGCGCAGCATTAACCAGGTTTATGGGCTCCTGACTGAGGGTCTCATTCTTATTCTTCCCTTGATTAAAACTTGATTGGCTTGGGGAATAAGGACTGCCAAGCCCAGAAGCATCCCTGGTGCTAATGCAGCCGCGTCTACAAGCAAACCAAAGTTCTGAGTGTAGGTCTATTTGCTCACTTAACAGATGCTGTTGGTGATTGTATTTTACCCATCCGCCCCCCCACATTTTTTTCACAGCCTGACCTCAGGGAGGGTGATGTGAGAAACTGGGGCAGGTCATTGCCTTTTTACTAAATAGGTGATCACCCAGGTGTATCAGAAGCTACTCTCCACCTAGCTAACATCTCAATCACATTTCCTGTACTCTCATGACTAGTACTTCTACAATCAGTGCCACGGAATGAACCAGGCCTGAACTCGGGGGTGGCAAGAAGGTACCATCTGCAAAGAGAAGCTAATTCCTGGAAGGAGCTACCCCAGCCACACTGTGTTTACACTGTCAGCAAAGCATTTTGTGGAATATCAGAATCGAGAGCCAGGGAAGCTGTGTAGCTGAATTCTGAAAACTTTAAATGTTTGAGAACAACAGTGACATCTGTTCGCTGTTCTGCAAACTGCAAACTTGCAGTAATTAAAGTTTCACCACTAGATGGCAGCACTTTTGATGCTGTCCGTCTTTGCTTTGGGGTTTCAGAGGTTGTGATGAAAAAGCAAGTATCACATTAAAATCACTGTGGGACAGGAAATGAGGAGGTGGCATCCCATCCTATCCCACCGTCTGAGAAGCTGTGTGGTGCCCAATAGTTGCGAAGGTGTTAGGACAGATACTTACTCAGCTGTTTGGAGCAAACCCTCCTTATCCTCAGGGGATATGCTGCACGCCCCCCAGGGGATGCCTGAAAGCACAGATGGTCCAGAGCCCTGTATATACTGCGCTTTCCTATGCACACATACCCATGATAAAGTGTAATTTATAAATCAGGCTCAGTAAGAGATGAACAACAGTAATACAATAGAACAATTTTAACAATATACTGTAATAAAAGTTATGTGAATGGGGACTCTCTCTCTCAAACTGTCTTATCCTACTACACTCACCCTTCTTCTGATAATGTGAGGTGATAAAATGCCCAGTGATGATAGGAAGTGAGGGGAATTTCACAGGCATTGTGACATAGCATCAGGCTACTGCTGCCCTTCTGACAATACATCAGTGGGAGGATCATCTGCTTCCACACGGGTCACTGAAACTGTAGATATGGGGGCATCACTGTCCTCGATACTCAGAATTGTCTGGAGTTTGTTTGGCCTGTGGGTGTCATGAACAGAGAAAGTACTAAGGGGAAGGAGACTGACACTCTGCCTCTGACTCCAGGGGAGTTCATGAAGGAGGCTGGGGTTAAAGCCAAGGCAGGGCACAAGTGAGATGGGAAGTGAAAGAAATGAGAGCTTCAGACACACTTAATGATGTTATAATTTGCCCTCAGTCTTATCCCTGACCAGTGGCATTGCTAATGGCAGCCCCCAAGCTGTGACCATACTCACACTCCAGAGACCCCACCTGGGTCCTCCCTTGGTCCAGGGCATACCTTGAGAGACAGTTCGAGGTTTTCGCCACCTTGCAGTAACATGAGGGGGTCATACGCCCCAGTGTTTTGGAAGTAATGTCTGTCCATGGCCACAACCCCACTGGGCACCACAGGGCTCCTGGGCAGAGAGAAGGTGGAATAGAGTGCAGTTCAGAACACAGAGCACATCAGGAGGCTTGCCGGTGGGAGCCCCAGGGGCTAAGAGGGCGGGGTCTGGGCTCTGATAGGTCTCGGGGCTTTTAACTGCAACACTGGAGACAAGCAATCATGTCAAAAATCCCAGTTTTTCATGGAAAGAGAGCTATGGCTGCCAGGGCCTTTTATTCCCCATCCAGGGGTCTGCATCTGAGGCTCCCCTGCCCTCTGGCTTGAGTGCCCCTGCAAAGACCTTTGGGAAGAAGGCCCTGGTTAAAATAAGATACCCTAAGGCAGGTGACATCAGGCCTGGACAGAAGGAAACAGTCAGGCTCTGCCCTCCTTTCTTCCCTCATCCAGATGTGGGACTCAGGCAGGTACAGTGCGGAGGGTCATAGGAGCCCCTGGGGGCCAGGCATGCCAACCCCCCACCAGAGTCCAGGTCCAGGGGGGAAGGCGAATCTTGGAGAGAGCTGACACAGGACAGCGAGAGCCTGAGGTGGGGACCTCCCACCCCGTCACCGCTTCCCCCACAGAGGCCTGGAGCTCAAAATCAACCCAGGGAGACAGCCAGGAGGACACCCGGAAGGCAGATTTAAACATGAGATGACTAAGCTATTACTGACTTTGACTAATTTGCCCAGAAGTTTTATGCTATTAGTTGGAAAGAGCCATCAAGATAGAAATTACCTAAGTTGATTTATTAGAGAATAAAGATAAATATTTTTTGTATATCTAAGCTTGTGGGTAATCAGTTCTGCTGTTAGAGTCATACTCCCTTGGGTAGCGCCTTGAAGTCCTATTCATGCCTGATGCCTTTATTCTGTGTCCCTGTGCTAGATACTCAGAAACTCAACTCAAGTAATTGGTTGGTGTTAGGCAGTAGGTGACAGACTGGCAGATGGAGGTCAGCTGCCCAAAAGTGGACTCCACAGGGTCCCCTGTCCCACTGGTGCTTACACTGCCTACAGTGTGACCTTGACATTCCTCTCCCAAGGGGGTGTCTGTTCTCCTTCCCATGAACCTGAGTGGGCCTGTGACAGCACTGGAGGTGACCCTGGGTGCCTTCTGAGGCTGGTTATAGAAGGGGCTACATACCTCCAAAACACGCCGAGTGAAAGATGCCTGAAGCGAGAGGCCAGGTACTGTGTGCCCTGACAGGGCCAGTCCATAGGGCTGGTTGGCGGTTGCCAGGGATAGGGGCCGGGGAGCAGCGGAGACCCTGCCTAATGGGTAAGGGACTTTACTTTGGGGTGATGGAGATGTTTTAGACTAGACAGAGGAGGCAGTTGCACAACATGGTGGATATACTAAATGCTACCGAATTTTTCACTCTCAACGGGTGACTTTTATGTTATGTGAAATTCTCATCAAGACATTATTTTTTAAAAGCAGGGAGGAGGTACAGCTTGTATCACCAGCCCTCTTGGGATTGCCTCACTCTGAGGCCCCAGCCAGCGGACACACAGCCACCTCTGGGGGGCCGCGCGCCGGCCTTCAGTCGCGGGACAGTGTCGCAAGATTGCGGCCCCAGCTCTTCGCGTTTCTGGACATTCTAGCCCAGTCCGGACTAGTCCTGCTGAGACTCCGGATACCCTGGGGCACAGACAACCACCCCGAGGCTCCCACAGGGTGCATGAGTTTCATAAATCGGTGGTTGTTCTACACCACTAAGTGAGTGGTTTGCTTGGCTACAGATGGTGTTTAGCGCATGTCCTCAAAGAGAGTATAATTGTCCAAAAACTAAACACGCCCAAACACTAAACTGAGCAACTCACACAACTGGGGGTACTATGAGCGTTGTGGTGTCTCAGCATGCACCTGGCTGAAGTCTTCCTCTTCCCTGAGGAAGTCCCCAAGGCCAGAGCAATCCCTGGGTGACCAGGTGAGACAGACCTGGGGCAGCATCCCAGCACAGCCTCTGCCTCTGTCCCCACAGGGGCATCCAGGGGAGCGGCCTGCAGGGCTGCCGGACTCCACTCACACAGCAGGGAAACAGCCCTCACACACAGTGCCTGGCCCTGCGTTGTAGAAGGGGCTACATACCTCCAAACACACTGAGTGAAAAGATGCCTGATGCGAGAGGCCAGGTACTGTGTGACTGCCCTGACAGGGCCAGTCCGTAGGGACAGAGAGCAGGTCAGCGGTTGCCAGGGACAGGGGCTGGGGAGCAGAGGAGAGTCTCACTCAGTGACTTAGGCGACTTTCCCAGCAGCCCTGCACGGGATGTCTTGTTGTTACCCTAGATTAGTGGTGAGGAAACTGAGGCATGGAGGAAGTAATTGTAAGACACCAGTGGAGCCTGGATTCGATCCCAAGCAGTCTGGCTGCCAAGCTGGTCGTGGGGAAGCGAGGGAGAAGCAGGCCGTGCGAGGGGCCCTCACCTGATGGGCTTGATGAGGGACTGGAGAGCCTTCCTTTCACCCTCAGGCAAAGGCGCCCAGTGGAAATCCAGCTTCCAGTCTAGCACTCCACGCTGCAAATCCCTGGAGGGGTAATACTGGAAAGTCTTCCAGTCAATCACATCTATGACTGGAGACACCACCCGGCTCCTGGGAAGAATCGTGGAGTCAAACAAGGAATACAAGCCATTCACTTGCTGGGGATAGAAATGTCATCTGTGCACGCTGCCCATTGTGGTGCCCCCTGTGCTGGACTTAGAAGACTTTGTATGGAAAAGGATGTTAAAATATTGGTAAGTTTTATATTGATTGCATGTTGAAATGAAGATTTTGGACACACTGGGTTTATTAAAATATATTATTAAAATTAATTTCATGTTTCTTTTTCTTTTCTAATATGACTATTAGAAACATTTATATCACATGTGTGACATACGTGGCTCATGTTATGTTTCTGTTAGGCAACACTGTTCCAGAAAACAGTTTTCCTTAAAGAACTGGGGACCCATTTCATTAAAGAACCTGTTTGCCCTCTGTTGACAGCACCAGGGGGCGGGAGAATGGGGTCCTAGGCTCAGCTCTGCCACTAAGGAGCTCTGTGATCTTGAGAGAGCTGTTGAACTTTTCTGGGACTGAGTTTCCCCATTTGTAAAATGGGAGGTTGAACTATTTCTCACAAAGGTATTTCTCAGCCATAATGCTCTAGGACTGTTGTTCTTAACTTCTTTTGGGGTCTTTGATCCCTTGAGAACAAGCGGAAAACTGTGGACCTGCCACAGAAAAATAATCATATGCACATATGCAAAATACTGTGCGCAGCATTAACCAGGTTTATGGGCTCCTGACTGAGGGTCTCATTCTTATTCTTCCCTTGATTAAAACTTGATTGGCTTGGGGAATAAGGACTGCCAAGCCCAGAAGCATCCCTGGTGCTAATGCAGCCGCGTCTACAAGCAAACCAAAGTTCTGAGTGTAGGTCTATTTGCTCACTTAACAGATGCTGTTGGTGATTGTATTTTACCCATCCGCCCCCCCACATTTTTTTCACAGCCTGACCTCAGGGAGGGTGATGTGAGAAACTGGGGCAGGTCATTGCCTTTTTACTAAATAGGTGATCACCCAGGTGTATCAGAAGCTACTCTCCACCTAGCTAACATCTCAATCACATTTCCTGTACTCTCATGACTAGTACTTCTACAATCAGTGCCACGGAATGAACCAGGCCTGAACTCGGGGGTGGCAAGAAGGTACCATCTGCAAAGAGAAGCTAATTCCTGGAAGGAGCTACCCCAGCCACACTGTGTTTACACTGTCAGCAAAGCATTTTGTGGAATATCAGAATCGAGAGCCAGGGAAGCTGTGTAGCTGAATTCTGAAGAATCCATCAAATTCATGCCATCTTAGTAATCATAATAGGACAAGAAAGGAAATTGGATTTGAGTGTCTACACAGTAAATTCATCCTAGACATCTAAGCTGTGTCCTTCCTGACAAAGGTATACATTACTTTTTAACGGAAATGAGAACTATAAAATTCATTAAGTTTCTTATTTTGCTCTGTCTTGCTGGAAGCTCAGAGGTAAGTGTAAAGATCACTTCTATAACTGTATTACCTGTGATTCCCAATACCATCTTTTCCTTTCTGAAATCTTTTCTTTTTATTTTTACCAGACACATAAGTGATTAATCATGCACCTCTCTGAGGACATTTCAGATAGAGATGAAGGATAGATAAAATGTCAATGAATGAAGTGAAAGACATGTTTTGTTTTGTTTTTCTTGCCATGGACCATGGGGGCTGCTTACCCAGGGCTGAATTCAGGAGTAACCGCAGCCTAGTGACTCAGAAAGAGTGATTTGACAAAACCCGAACAGTCTTATACTTTGCTTTCAACTTCACACTTACAGATGTGTCCGGTGTTCTGGGGATTCACTTAAAGCAACATAGCAAAGCTGCCCTGCTTGGCTTGGAAGGACCTAGAAGTGCCTGCTTGAACTGGGTTTTAACTCTCAGGCAGATACAAGGTTGGTCCTGTCTTAAGCCTTTCTAAGCTCCAGGTGTCAAGCTTTTGGGTTTCAAAGACCAACCCAGGCAGCCGAGCTGTCCACAAACACAGGTTAACTGAAATATGTGAGGTCCACTAATGAACTGCAGTCTCCATGGAAAGGCTCTCATATTGACAGGTCAAAAGCTCTGATTCTCTCTTTCCAGAGCTCTTGTTACTCAGGTGTGACTCCAGGGCAGGGGCCAGGCCTGCCGGGACTCTGTCGTGCTGAGGGGTGTGGAGTAGGATGATGGCTGCACAGGCTCCTTGGGGCATGAGACCCAGAGAAGGCCACTACCTCTGCCTGCCACTCCCCGGGGTGCACACACTCACATGCACGCACATGCATGCATGTGCACACTCACACTCACATTTTCACCCGGGATTCCCCAGACTGCTTTCCATCAGTGAGCTCCTTGGAGGGCAGAGAGGTAGGAGGTGGTCTGTTCCTGCCCCACCTCCTTCCCAGGGAGCAGGCTCGGCCCTGGCTGAGCACGAGGTGATTTTAAGAATGAGGTGTGTCTAAGAGGAGGGACAAGACCAGCTGTCACTGGACATCAAGCTAGCATCACCCCTCAGAGGGTGCTGTCTTCTGGTGTATCACCAAGGCCTAGCTGCCCCTTTTCCCTTGGAAGTCTTCATTTTTCTGGGGCCATGACTCTCACTTGTTGGTGTGGGGACTGGAGCTGGCAGCACAAGGTATTGGAGCTGGAACGCAGCTACCCTTGATCTTTATCTTCATCACTTTACATAGAGCCAGCCGCCAATCAGTACCTCCTTGGACTGCCCTAAGAACGATGCTCTTGGAGACCTCTGTCTGGGCCTGCTATGTACTGTTAGGCGGGTCGTGCACTGCCTGATCCCAGAGGGGTCCCAAATATCACGGACATTGTACATTTGCATATTCATTTCTACATTTTCTGGCAGTTCAAACGAGAACCTCATCTTAACAAAATGAAGGCATTATGATATATCTTCTAAGGAATGGGAGTAAAGGGTCATGAGGAAGGGGCTCCTTTTACTGATTCATACCAGGTGGCCATGTGGGTCCTGGTAGGTCTATCCTGCGGGTGGGGACAGGGAACCAGGGCTAGTAACCAGGCCCTGAGTTCTCTGACCAGGGGGTTAAGGAAGCTGCGATTCTTTAAAATCATCAACTCATGGCTTATTACACTGTTTTACTCACCCTCCCTATGCCACCTTTTCAATGAAAGCTCTTCAAGAACTTTCCCTGCTTTGTGGGCAATGGGTGTAGCCTGGTGATAGAAGGCGGCCTGCCTTACGCCTCTGACGCAGCTGGGGTCTTTTCCTCTCTTGAAGACCAGAGACCAGCACCTGTTAGAAGCTGTGCCCAATGGCTTCTCCAGCTTTGCTTTTTTGTTTTGTTTTGTTTTATTGGACTAGAGTTGATATACAATATTATATTGGTTTCACATGTGAACACGGTGATTTGATAATTATGTGCATTACTAACTGCTTACCGTGGTAAATGTAGGTACCCCGTCACCATACCAAGATATCACAGTATTATTGGTCATATTCTCTATGCTGTACTTCCATTCCTTTAACTAATTTATTTTATAATTTGAAGTTTGTACCTCTTTATCCCCTTCACTTATTTCCCCTATCATACTCCCCCCACCCCATGGGAATCAACAGTCTGATTAGGGGTTAATACCCAAAATATATAAAGAAGTCATATAACTCAATGCCAAAAATCCCCCAAATAATCTGATTAAAAATTGGGCACAGGATCTGAAGAGACAGTTTTCCAAAGAGGACATACATGGCCAACAGCTTTGCCATCTTTAACTGCTTTAAATGAGGTGGGCTGCCACAGGGGGCCGGAGAAAACCCTGAGCAGAGTCACCAGGAAAGCACAGCAAGCCTGGAAGGGGTGGCTCCCCAGGTCACAGAGTGCAGAGCCCTGTCATGTGGTGCAGAAAGAGGGACTCACACCCAGGAGAGGCCACTTTGCTCTCTGAGCCTCACCTGCGAAGGCCTGCAAGCTCCCCATGGGGGCCCAGAGTAGAAAGCTGTGAATAACAAAATGATGGTCAGCCACAGAAAAGAGGGGCCAGGAAGTGGAAGCCAGGCCAGGCTGGGTGGGGACCAGAGGCTGTGTGTGTGTGTGTGTGTGTGTGTGTGTGTGTGTGTGTGTGTGTGTGAGAGAGAGAGAGAGAGAGAGAGAGAGAGAGAGAGAGAGAGAAAGAGACAGAAAGAGAGAGAGAGAGAGAGAGGGAGAGAGAGAAGAAGGGAGGAAGTTTGATAAAAAGGAGAAGAAGGGAAGAGCCCAGGGAATCAGAATTTCATGCTGTCACCCCTTGCTGGCAGACAGCATCTCAGGGAGCCCATTTCATTGGTTGCTGAGCTATTGCCAAGCTTTCCTCAGCCTAGAGTGGAAACCTCTGGATCTCTGAAAAGGACAAAGGACACCAAGGTGAGAAGCAGACATGAGGGACTCACTTTAATCAAGGTTTTAACATACATCTCACAACCAGGTGGGCATGGGCATGACTGAATGTTTCTCCCTGGTCACCTCCAATGCTTGAGAAAGTTCACAGACAATAAAAAGAGCAGTGCACCCAGAGTCAGAAGCTCCGACTCAGCTGCCAAGGCTCTGGGTGGCCCTGCTCTCCATTTCTCCTCTCTGCCAAGGGGAAGCAAGAAGACGTGCCTGAGGGGGCTGGCGATGGGTGTAAATAAAACCGCCTGCTAGGGTTATACGTGCATAAGGCTTAACAATATTTGTGGTGGTGGCTGACTGTCTGCATAAAAGTATAGAGAACAGCTCAACTGTCTAGAGGCTGTGTGACCCCGAGGGGTCTCTTTGTCCCCCTTGATACTCAGTTTTTTTTCAATAGTGAAATCATGGTCCTAAGGTCCCTCTGAGAGTCATCTGTCTGATACCGGGGTGGGAATGAAATGAGGACTGGACAGGACCAACTTCACATTCCACTGTGATGACACACAGTCACTGTAATCTCAGGAACAGAATCCAAGACGGCAGCCTCGTGGGCTTCCTTCGTTTGCCTGTCCTGGTCGTGGTGCTCAGCTCACACACGCTCCTTCTCTTCTGAGGTATGAACTGGGAGGGCAGTGATCTGCGTCAGGGACCTGGGCAAAATCCTTCTTGATTTCACTCAAGCTGTGATTGTTCTTTATGAAAAGGAATAGCTGGATTATTAACAGTTTATATTGTGTGGACTGAAGCCCCTTCCATCTAGTGGAATGAGAACGCCTCTGCATCCCCATCCAGAGGTTTTCTTTCTTTTCTGTGGTCAACCCCAACTTCAGAAAGGACAGTCAACACTGACCACGGGAAGGAGTGCAAGCAGAGAAGTCACAAGGCGCGGTTCTGGCATCAGCCCTATCTAGCTGGACACCACCAGAAACGTTTATTGAGCTCCTACTATGTTTGTCAGGCCTGAGGGGGTCCCAGGTGGGCCAGCCATCAGTTTCTGGTTCTCCTGAGTGGGATATTTAGATTGAGGAAAATGGTTGACAAGATATGTTTTAGGAACTGTTTGACTAGAGGAATGAGGTGGCCGAGAGAATGACAGCAAGATGCTGAAAGGAGAGCAGAGAAATGGCCCAAGAAAAATTTAACATGGTTGGCTAAGTGCTGTGCCATGCGATGCTCACCAGCGTCCCATTCCTGAGGTCCGGCCTTGGTTGGAAGATGAGAAACTTCCTTGTACACCAGGAAATGGAAATGCTAGTTCTTGATGGGACTTCAGCCATCAGAATCTCATGCTTCTTCTTAGGGGTGAGAACCTAGGAGCAAAGTTTGTAGACTTTCTCCCAGGCAATGTTATCATATTGATTAAAATTGCTGACCTTTCCTCAAAGGGAAAGTTGTTAGCCTTCCTACAGGTATTTGCAGATTCATGGCAGCTGGTCCTTAGGTTTCAGTACAAAACAAGGTAGGTGGGCTGGAGGACCTCTAACATCCTTTGCAACTAACCTCCCGATGTTACTTAAGAGTCTCAAACATCTGAAAACCCCAAGGAGCACCTCGTTCTTGAATGGTGGGGACTGAGGCACTGTTTCAGTGGTAGGCAGGTGTTCTGTGAGTGGCTGAGGCTGTGGACCCTCTCCCACTCCCACTCCCCAGACCCTGGGGGTGAGTTACCTGTCATCAGCTATTCTGCTAAGGAGGGGCTCCAGCCAGCCTGGGTGGCACTCGCAGTGGGAGTCCATGAAGACCAACACATCCCCAGTGGCCCTGGTGGCCCCCAGCATCCGGGCCCGGATGGCCCCCAGTCTCTTGTTGCTCCTGAGCAGCTTCACCCCCTCCAGCTTGGCCACGTATTCACTGAGTGCAGACTTGAGTTGTCCTGGAATTGACAAGGTTGTGGTCAGTAGGGTCACAGGTGCCACAGGCAGCCATCAGAGGGTCATTGTCAGCAGTTCTTTCCTGAGAGCTGGGGCGAGCGCAAGGGTCCTGACAATTAGATCATTGCTAAGATGTAAGTTGCTTCCTTAGTCTGGGCTGGGTCAGGAGTCTGTCCAGTGCAAACCAGGAGACATAGTGTCAGAAAACCAGACGAGAAGGACTTGCTAACCTTCTCCAAATGCCACAGCGAGGTTGCAGAAGGCACTGTTGGTGCCTGGCTCAGGGGCCTGGGATCCCTTTGACTGGGTTGGTCTGCATGTCCCCAGCCACTGTGGGGCTGCCACTAACTACGGCTGCACCCTTCCCCGGAGCCGTGCCCTGCTAGTGCCAGGGAGTCACACAGAGCTCTGCTCCTGGAGCCAGGCCCCCAGTCCGTGATTGACCATTGCAGGAGCACAAAAGCCCTTGTCTCCAGGCAGGATGGATTCTGGGATGCAGCTCACACTGCAGCGCTCCACAGGGGTCAGGCTTCATCAACCACAGTTTGGTTCAGCTCCTTTCTCGGCTCCTCCTGCTTCTCCGGTCCCACACAAGGTTTTCCCGAGAGTGTACTCCCCCCAGATTCAGATGCACACGAGTCCCTACCTCAGGCTCTGTTTTAGGGAACCCAGCCTAAGACAGTGGTCAAGGAAAAAAAGACAGAAGGGGTTCATTCAGTGTGGCCTCAGGTAGGGGCATTGCTGGTGCTGGTCAAAGGGGTTTCATCTCAGGAGTGGGGTGAGTGGGCAATGCAGTGGGTCCCAGGGAAAGTGGAAGGTGAAAAGCTGAGATTCTATAGGGAATAAAGGATGAGAGAGGTTTGCTAGGTGTTGCGCAGAAGATAAGAAAAACTGTGTGCATGCACACATCAAGATGAGTAAGCCAGTGTAGCTGGAGGGAATAACGGGTTTACAGAGAAGCAGTGTCTTCCAGGGAGTCTGGGAAATGGAGACTCTCAGCCCACTTGATAAAGAATTCTGCAAGGCAGGGATTTCTCCAACCGCCAGCACAGCACTGGCCCACAGTAGGCACTCAGTGTGTGTGTCAAGCAGAACTGAGGCAAAGAGCAAGGATTGACCTAGTTCTGCAGCCCAGAGGTGATTCTGACTGGGATTCACACGGGCTGGCTGCTATGGGAGCTGGTCTCCACAGAGGCAGGGAGGGCTCAGGCTGCCATGCAGAGGCCCTATCAGACTCCCTGGGGAGCTGCCTTCCAAGTGGCACATAGCTTCCCAGGGAGATTTTTTTGCAGGGGAAACTGTCTTGAGCTGTTGACATAAGGATTCCCAGTCACTTGGCTGTTGAATTTCTCAGTGGTAAAATTTTGTGCTGATTTATTACTTTACAATTATTTTTCTGGCCAGCTTGATAACCCTAAGTCCATTCCCTAAAGGACCCCTATCCGCAATGCTGTTAAAACTTCTGAACTTGGATGTATGCAAACCAGCCCTCGGTGACTCCACTGTATTGACCATTGCTAGTTGTCTTATCCAAGATTCTTTCTCCCCTTCCAGCTTACTTACAGAAACCTCATTTTGTTAGGGCAGCTAAAAGCACTCACCTGCCAGGATGCTCTTGCTGCCGAGTAATAGCAGCAACTGTGGTAGAAATATACTGGGTGAGAGGATTGTGGAAAAACTATTGTATCACTGATTATTTTTTTGTAAAAGGAAAAACAAGGCTCGCCTCTGCCTATCTGCCTGTCACCCTTTTCCTGCCTGGAATAGGAATGTGAATGTGGAGCAGCCTCCTTGAGATTATGAGAGCAAAGGCCGCTTGGCTAAGGGGAAAGCAGAGGGAGCTGAGGACCTTGGGGGTGGCCCGCTTCCCTGGGGGTGGGGGGCGCTCTACCACCCCAGCAGGAGGGAAGGCTCTTGAGTGGCACTGACATGACAGCTCATCAGCTATTAGGGGAGGGGCCACAGGGGTGCTCTTGAGAAGACTCTGCCCCAGCTGAGGGGTTAGATAGTCTCTGGGGACCTTCACCAACCCTGGACCTGCTCACGGGTCCTGCCTAACATGCAGCTATGTTAGTAAACTCACATACTACCAAGTAGTCTGACCCACTACCACAGCCAGGCGGGGTGAGTCCCTGACATGATGACCTTGGGAAGAGCTAAAGAGGCACCTGGCCACTCTGTCCACCCTCTGTCATTCCTTAGGAAAGTGCTCTGCAGACCACAGAAAGTCACGCTTCCTTCAGATCAAGCTTGGTGATCTCCACAAGGCCCAAAATACAGCCCTGAGGCCCCATCTCAAGACTAGAGTAGCAGTTCTCAAAATGCGGTCCACGGACCAGCAGCAGCAGGACCTGGGAGTGTGCTGGAATTGCAAGTCCTGGGGCCCAATCCCAGATCCAGACACTCTGGGGGTGGGCCCAGCAATCCATGTTTTATCAAGCCTACACTCAGGTTTGAGAACCATTGCCCTAGAAGTCAGGCAGGGAGTTCTGCCTCGTGTTGTGTCCTATTAGCTACCTGGTCATGCTGAGCACTGGGCCCAGGAGTGAGTCTCCTGTCAGTGGAAACCTTTAAGCAGACTCCACAAGCCTGGGCCTGACTCTGCCACAGTTGGCACGACTCACAGGTCAGTTCCCTGCTCTGGGCCTCAGTGTTCTCATCTGGAAGTGAGTAGACTAGGCGAATCAAGGATGACCCAGTGACTAATCCAGGTCAAGTGCTTGACATGCCCAGAGGCAGGAGGCAGTGCACAGTCACATGTGGCCACTCCGTTTGTTAGGGTCCAGGCTTCCGAGGCTTCCCCAGAGAACCAACTACACAGGCATAGAGATGTAAATTCAAGCAAAGTCTTTATTCAGCTAGCTAGCTGAGGTCCAAGTCAGCCCGATGCAGCGGGTCTCAACAAGGACCCCGAGCACTCAGAGCCAAGGGTTTATATAGCAATTTCAAAGCACTTAACTCATAGCAATTTTCTATAACTATACATTATTCTTGCAAGACATATATCCTGGGGTTAAGCAAGGGCAGGGTAAGACTACTCCTCAATGGTTAGGGAGGTTCTGCACGATAAGCTTGGTATGTAAGATTAACTGACCAAGGTTAGCTGACCAAGGGTCACAGCTGCCCACCACCCGGTGCTCATGATTAACTTGTTTTTCAAGGCCTTACCCAGTTCCAGTTTTTCTTTCTAAGTCACATACTCAGAAAATGGCTTCTAGGCCTTTAAGATGGCTATGCTTATGCTAACCTATTTCTATTCTTACATTCCCCTCTTCTTCTTGTATCTATTTCAATCATGAAATTAGGGGTCATCTGTTTGGTTAACACTCTGATAGTTCTGTCTCAACACTATGATTTGCACGGTGCTAATGCGTTCTTTGATAAAGGTAACACATGGAGTGACTCCGGTTTGGCGGGCCTACTACTTGTTAGAATAAGCTGGGGTGGTGCTGATTACTTCTGTCTTGTTGTAGAGGGAGGTGTAAGTTTTAGGAACTCTCTCAATGCAGGTTCTTTGCCTACTTGCAGAGGATAAAGTGAGTCTCGGTCTTTGTCTTCTACAGATAGGGACTCTAGCTGCTGCTAGGGAAAAGGGGCGATGACCGCTCTGGCTGCTTCGTGCTGAGAAGGGGGTGCAGTAAAGGGTGCAGCTAGGTCTCTATTACTGGTCAGTTGAGAGGGCTTCAGAAGGCTGGCGCTTCTATTACTATTTGCAGTTTTGTGGCTTCTAGGCAAGATAAAACAAATTGTGTTATTAGGTTATGTAGCAACATCTGGAGTTGGATTTTCTATTCTGGAGGCTGCAGTTATTGAAACAATACTTTTCTCTAAAATCACCCTCATTTTTATTAGAAGTAACCAGGTTAAGAAAATAATTAACAGCTGGCTTGATCATTTGCACAAGTGCAGCAAGAAGAGCAATTGATTACACAGGCTCTTTTAAATATGCTTTGCTGGAACTTTTTGTAAGGAATTTCAGATTGAACTTTTAAAGGCCTCTTGAGGCCAGACAGCCAAGCTAGACTTGCCATCAGGCTTTGCCTGCAGTACCTGTAGATTTGGATGAATTCTTCTCTTCTCGAGGTCTCTGAACCTGCCAGGAAGTGACCTTCTTTACTCACCTGGTAAGGCTGCTGGGAACTCTGTAAGCAAGGTACCAGGCCAGTTCTTCCAAGGGGCTTTGTTGGCTTTATAAAGTCAATCTTAGTTCCTTAAAGTTGTTCACATCTGAGTCCATGCACATGTCTCTCAGGTATGACATTCCAGTCAAAGCCCTGGCAGTATAACCAGTGTTCTTAAGTAGTCTTCTCACAAGGAAAGCAGATTCTTATTGAACTCATGCAAATAAACATACTGCCATGGAATACAAAAACAGTCACTGAAAGTTTTTAAACTCTGGAGGGATCAGGTAGAGAGAAGGAAGTTTCAATTCTGCTCATAAAGATAGTCATTTACTAAACTGTTGTCAGTTTAAGAGAACAAGGTTAAAACACTTTATCAGCAACATTTGAAACAAAAAGACACAAAATCATTTTCTTTAGTTTATGTAATCTTATGTAACTAATACCTGTTCTGCTGAAATCTAGTTCTTTACCAGTTTAGGGATAATACTATAAATGACAAAAGACTTACAAATGACAATGGTTAAAGATCTGATGAGAGCTTACTGTAAGACAGTTGACATAAGGAAATTCTGATATTTCTGTAATACAAAACATTTAGTAACAAAGTTTAGCATCATTCTCTTTGACAGTGCTTTCCTGGTAAATAAATATATATATATCAGATAAATAAGCCAAATTAGTCAAATACTTTCTCTAATGAGAAAAAATTCTTCTGACATGTTCCAGGGGCCCTCTGGAAAATATCAGAGTTAACTAGAGGTAAAAGCACTTTTTTTTGAACTTAGCATAAGTGTCCAAGACCAGATACAAAAAAAGCAGAGAAAGTGCTTAAGTCTACAGGTCTTCTCTGAAAGCTTCAAGAATGTTTTACTCTTTAATAGTAGATATAAGCTGCTATGCAAATTCTATTAAAAGCTCTAAGATCATTTG